GGGGGGGGAGGAGAAACATCACAATGATCAACAGATAACCCCACCCACCCAAGGTGACAAACAACAGAAACATGGGTGAAGGGAGACAGCAGACAATGGAAGATGTGAAAATAATAATTTATAGTTTATCAAGGATTCATGGGGGAGGGAGGGAAATAAAATTAAGGAGCTGAAACTAAGGGCTCAAGTAGAAAGACAATGTTTTTAAAAGGATGATAGCAATATATGTACCAACGTTCTTGACACAATGGATGTGTGGATTGTTGTAAAAGCCCCCAATAAAATTATTTTAAAATAAATAAAATAGTTTTTTTAAAAAAAGGTTTTTCTGCTGAATCTAGGGTATTCTGAAGAGAAAAGCCTGTGTTTTTAAAGTGCTGCCAAATGACAAAAGGAGTAACAAACAATTTGATTTAAATGTGCAATGTAAGTTGTCAGTAGTAAAACTATCGAAAAAACTACCTGTTTTCCTCCAGTTTGTTGAAAGTACCCTACCTAATATTCTTGCAATGGCTAAAATTATGCTCTTTAATTCTGTGCTGATAGTTTTAAAACTGTTTCAGTATAACAAATACTTATCTAAATGGAGAGTTGTCTGGCTTTATGTGAACAATATAAATGGCAGGGAATAAGAGTTATATAGTGTATGCCTAAAAAATGGCTATTTCTTTAATATGTTGTACTGGGATAATGGTATTTCAACTAGTTATCAGCACATGACAATACATTTCCTCCTCACTTCTATGCTAGATGAAAAATCCTAAAAATTACAGCTGAGAGGAAAGAACACTATACCTATGTGATGGATGAGCTGAAGACTTTGTCCATTTGAAAAATATTATTTTCAGGTCCTTTACTTACTAAAGGAGGCCCAGTTTCACCCCAGTGCTTTGAGAACTGTCTAAATTAACTCAAATGAAAAGAGAAAATGTGTTGGTAAAACTCTGGTTTACCACACAAAAAAATCGTGATATTTAATTTTTTATGACTGCTGGAAATTTTAATACATGAATTATTAGCTTCATATTATAAGTGTTTTGATATCAGTATGAAGTTCCATTTAAGAATTTTAAAGATATATTATAGACAATGAATATTAGACAGATAGTTCAGTATTAAACCCTAACATAAAATATACCTGACATTTCTATTTGAATCCTGAAGTGAGAGAAGATTGCAGTAGGTACTGATTTTGGAATACTTATGCTTATACCTTTTAGGATTTAGTGTTAATTGTTTTTGTTTTTCTTCTTCCTAGTACTAATAGAAAATTACAGGTAGAGTTTTTCTTGACAAATTCCTTCTAATTTGTTTTGTTTATAGGTGTTGACTTCAAAATCAAAACTGTAGAGCTAAGGGGAAAGAAAATTAGATTACAGATCTGGTAAGTGGAAGGAAGCATGTGCACCCCAGAACGTGCTTTATGTGTTTAACATCAATCCATGTGCTTGTCTAATAAAATTAACTCTTCGAGCTGGTTTGCCTCGCCCATTTTATTTTCTTTTACTCATTTTAAAAATAAATGGGACAGTACTTTCTTCGAGAGAGAATATATAAGCGAGTCTACTTATTTCATGCTCATGAAGAGTACAAAGAAAAATGCTACTTTAATGTCAACTCACTAGAAGCCTTTATTTAAGCTTCTATTTACAATCATTTGGCATGCATATCAAAGCTATCATTACTAAAATGCAATTGCTTGATTACTTGTCTCTAGGTCTTTACTGTTATTTGGCGTTATGGTGTCCCATATGTTTGTAACTCTTGTTTGCTCAGTTTAAAGTCAGATCACCCATAGGGAAATGCAGGCTCTTCCTCGTGAACCAGGGTGAGTATGTATGGTTGTGAGGCAAGGCTGATCCTTCCAGCTCTGTTAATGATTTCCCCGTTAATGGTGACTGGAAAATTAGCCCAGGTACCCCTTTCTGAAGGAAGTGACGTTCTCAAAGTATGCTTTCCTCAGATCCTAAATCTAATGAGAGAACAAGCCAGCCCTGTCAAAGCGTTTTTCAAGTCTAAGAGTTTTCTGACCTCTATAAAGGAGTG